AAACCCGTCTCTACTGAATGTACCAAAATAGTTGGGCATGGTTCAGGCACCTTTATTCCCAAATACTCAGGAGGCGGAGGCAAGGAGAACTGCTTTCACATGAGAGATGAGGCTGCAGTGAGCTGAGATTGTGCCACTGCACTCCCATTTGGCAACAGACCAAGACTTCGTTAAAAAAAAAAAAAATTAAAGAGCAATACAGATTGAATAATTATTCTTTTTACAAATTGTATTTAAATGATATCCTTTTTTTTTCAGTTACAGCTCAAGCTGTAAAAGCCAAAGGTCCAGGATGATCTTAAACTTTTTTTCCAGTCTCATGTTGAAGATCTTTATGTAGAAGGACTTCCCAAAGAATTTTTTTTTCTGAGACAAAGTTTTCACTCTTGTCACCCGCCTGGAGTGCAGTGGCGTGATCTCGGCTGGCTGCAATCTCTGCCTCCTGGGTTCAAGCAATTCTTTTTCCTCAGCCTCCTTATTGGCCAGGCTGGTCTCAAAATCCTGAGTTTGTGATTTACCTGCCTCGTTCTCTGAAAGTGCTGGGATTACAGGCATGAGCCATCATACTCAGCCTATTTTGCATATTTTTATCTTTCACTTTTTAATTTTTCTGGGTCCAACACTAAGTCAGTCATGCCAGTGTTAGCTTTGAAAACGTGGACAATGCTGACATCTGACTGGCATGCAACTGACATTTCTTTTGGAGTTTTGATTGGCTCCATCTGAGGGGGGCGCTCTGTGACGTCACAGGGGTGGGTTTTCAGGGAAGTCACAGGGACAGGACAAGGGCCTGGAGATGTGTTGTCTTCTCAGAGTGAAGCCTGGTACTGCAATGTCTATGTCGCTGAGGTAGGGGGATCCCTTCATTCCAGGAGTTCAAGAGCAGCTTGGGCAACATGGTATGACCTGTATCTGTAGTCCCACTTCAGCCTCCCAGCTACTTGAACCCCAGGTTCAAGGCTGCAATGAGCTATGATCCACCACAGAACTCCAACCTGTGAGACTGAGGTACACCCTGCCTAAAAGAACAAAAAGAAAACTATCCAAGTGTGAAGAGTAGGGGACTGCTTAAAGAAAACATGAGGCTCCCTGGGCCCTGTAATCCCAGCACTTTGAGGGCCGAGGCGGGAGGATGGCTTGGGCTCGGGAGGTTGAGACCAGCCTGGGCAACATGATGAAACCCTCTCTCTACAAAACATATAAAAATTAGCTAGGTGCGGTGCATACCTGGCCTAATTTTTGTAGAGATGAGGAGTGGTCTAGCTATGTTGCCCAGGCCTGTCTTGAACTGCTAGGTTGAAGCACCTTCTGACCTTGTCTTTCAAAGTTGTTGGGATTACAGGCATGAGCCACTGTCCCCACCTGGGTTAGGCTATTTAAGAACATAAGAAAGTGCTGAGGCAGCTCAGTGGCTCATCCCAGTACTTTGGGAGGCTGAGACGAGCAGATCACCTGAGGTCAGGGGATCGAGACCAGCCTGGCCAAAATGGTGAAACTGTCTCTGCAGAATATCCAAAACTTAGCTGGGGTGGTGGCAGGCTCCTGTATTCCAGCTATTCAGCAGGCTGAGGCAGGAGAATCATTTGAACCTGAGAAATGGAGCTTGCCGTGAGCCGAGATCATGCCACTGCACTCCAGCCTGGGCGACAAGAGTGAAACTTTCAAGAAAAGAAAGTTAAAGAGCAATACAGATTCAATAATGATTCTTTCCTGCAAATTGTGTTTAAATTATATCCCTTTTCGTTTTGTTCTTATATCTCAAGGTGTAAAAGCCAAAGGTCCGGTGATGATTCCATACCCTTTTCTTCAGTCTCATGTTGAAGATCTCTATGAAGAAAGCCTTCCCAAAGGAATTTGTTTTTCTTTTTCCTGAGACAGTTTTCACTGTTGTCACCCAGGTTGGAGTGCTGTGATGTGATTCTGGCTGACTGGCTCTTGGGTTCAGGCAGTTCTTTTGCCTCACAGTCACCCACCACCATTCAAGACTAATTTTTGCATTATTAGTAGAGAAGGGATTTTTCTATGTTGGCCAGGTTGGTCTTGGGCTCCTGACCTCAGGTGATACTAGGTGGAATAAGGGGGATGGGTGTGATTGGGACAGCCTTTATGGTATGTGATAGGCATGTTCTGCAGTTGACTTCATCTCTTTCTAAAACTTCCACTTTTTACTCTCAGCTCTGACAATTGGTTCTTGTTTATTTATAGAAAGTTTGTTAGAATTAGGTTTATATAGTTTCTTGTTGAATTGACAGAATATGTTATTTAACATCATTCTTTATTGTGACTGAAAGCCTCTAATTTTTACTGTTTAGTATGGGCATACTTCTTTTTACAGATATGAGAACGATTTCATTTTATGTGTTTCTTATCTCAAAGAGTTCCTATACTAGATCCTTTCAGATTTGGTGCTAATAACATGAAGTAAGAATTTAATACAAATCTTAGATGTTAGAGGAAAGCCAATCTAAGATCAAAGAAATTAATTTCTTTCAAGTTGAGTTGTGGAGGTAGAGGAGGCAATTGGATAAATGAGTCCAGAAGTAAGGAGAAAAATCTGGCAGTAGATTTAATTTTGGATTTTATACTAGTGTTTTGATAGCACTTGTTATGTCACCAAAATAACTCATCAATGAGCTCCCTCTCAGGTCCCCATTTCTTTTAAAGAAACCAGGTCTTGTTATGTTGTCTGGGCGTGACTAGAACTTTTGGGCTCATGTTATCCTCCTGCCTCAGCGTCCTAAGTGGCCGGGGCTACAGGCATGTGTTAGCATGCCCAGCTTTGAACCACTCCCAGCCATCAGGTTGCAAAATATTTAAATTTACATAGAAAGGTGCAAGGGAGATTTCTATATAAATAGCACCATGTAAATTGCTAGAATCTTTCTTTTTAGAATTCTGTTTAGATGTGGCTTCAGAGCAGGGAATAGTAAATTAATTTTTACTTTATTTTTGTTTTTGGTGTTTGTTTTTTAGAAGCAGATTCTCACTCTGTCGCCCAGGCTGATCTTGGCTCACTGTAGCCTGTTCCTGCTGGGTGCAAGCGATTCTCTTGCCTCAGCCTCCTTAGTGGCTGGGACTACAGGTGCCTGTCACCACAATTGGCTAACATTTTGTGTGTGTATTTCTGGTAGAGACAGGGTTTCACCATATTGGCCAGGCTGGTCTCTTAACTCCTGACCCAAGTGATCCACCTGCCTCGGCCTCCCCAAGTGCTGGAATTATAGGAGTGAGCCACTGCTCCCAACCATTTTTTTTTACATTTTTAAATTAGAGTTTTTATACCTATTCAAAAGTAGAGAAAATAGTACGCTCTACACTGAAATACCCATTCCTCAATTTCTGCGATCATTAAGATTGTCCACATTTTGTTCTGCTATTCTTTTACCTCCCTTTGCAGGAATATTATAAAGCAAATCACAGTCATCACATTATTTTATCTGTCTAGTGTGCATCCCCAAACAGCCACTCTCTCATCACATCTGACAAATTTAACAATGATTTTTTGGTGTCGGCTCATATGTAGCCCTTAGTCGAGTTTCCTTACTCTTATCTGAATAGTATCTGAGAAAATTTTGTTTTAAATCTGGCTTTAAACAATCTTCATGTGCTAACTTTGGTTGTTATGCCTCTTTTCATCTAAACCAGCCTCTGCTTACTATTTTTAATTCCATTCCATGAATTCTTTGTGGAACGTTATTTCTTATTAAACAGCATGCTCACGAGGTTGAAGGGGTAAAGAGCATTGATCTCATGGCTGCAGTGCAGATGAAATTGTAGCCCGAAATGCGCTACTGTAAGGCAGCCAATGGAGGAGGGTTATTACAGTCACGAGCAGATAGTAGCAAAAAGCTGCTTCCAAATAGTGTTTGTGACTGGGCACATTGGCTCATGCCTGTAATCCCAGCACTTTGGGAGGCCAAGGTGGGTGGATCACCTGAGGTCAGGAGTTGGAGACCAGCCTGGCCAACTTAGTTAAGCCCTGTCTCTACTAAAAATATACAAAAATTAGACAGGCATGCTGGCAGGCACCTGTAATCTCAGCTACTCGGGAGACTGAGGCAGGAGGATTGCTTGAACCTGAGAGGCCGAGATTGCAAGGAACTAAGATCATGCCACTGCACACCAGCTTAGGTTATGTTCTTTATTGTCTATAATGATTTTTTTCTTTCTCTTCTGTTTAAGGATATTGCAAAACAAAGCTTAATCTTTGAAGATCGTTTTTAAGACCAAAAATTTGAAGGACATGTGAATGATCTGTGTGTGGAAGAACTACTGGAAAACATTTCCTTTCAGAAGTCCCTCATGATAGGGAATCCCAAGGCTGGGAAACATCATTCAAGTGGGCAATGAAATTAAATTTTTTATTAAAAGGTAAGATGATAATCTGCAGGCACAAATTCAGTGTCTTCCCCAAGAAGAGATTAATTTGATGAAGATGGGCCTTTTGCTCACCTCTCATCGTGACTTCTTTATACTTACAATTCACATTTAGTTTCACTTATTAAACAAACATTTATTTAGTATAAGTATCAGATGAATAAAATATGCCCGTACGTACAGAATACAGTGTAAGAGTTGGGCTAGGGTGTCATCAAGTTTTAGAGAGTGATTGCAGCTAATTGACTCCTTGTTCATTCTTGCATTTATTCAATATAGAAGTAGTAAAAGAGGTTTTAAGTTAACATGCTTGTGGATAATTAAGATGGTTAAAAGAGTGGTTTTAAGAATGATAAAAACTTTTGGTTCTGAGGTCCAGAATAAACAGCATTAAGAAGTAATTCTTTTTCAACCTCCCCCTTAGAGGAACAGCTGGCATGAAGTTTACATGAGTAAACAGAGTAGAGAAAAAGGAATGTGGGGTAAACAGGCTCAACCATATGACTTAAAGCTCGAATGTAAGAACTGGCTGTCTTCAGCCTGGCTCATTAAAACTTCGGCTTCCCAAAGGTTTGAGACTATATTCTATACTTCCCTAATATTTCCCTTAATATTTTTCCAGCCACCCTGAGTGAATCCCAGCAAGCCCTGCATAAAATATATCGTTAATTATATTTCCTATTTGATGTTTGACTCCCCCTCCTCCTTCACTAAAAGGTAAGTAAGGGAAGGGATTTTGTCTGTTTTGTTGTTGTAAGCCTAAATCCCTAGAAGTTGCTCAGTAAATATTTGTTGTTTGAATGAATAAATCAGCCTATGATTGAATCAGACAGTCGTCTGTGGAAGGGACTTTTCATACCCGTGGTGCATATCTGTATGATAGCTGGTATAGGGAGGGATGTGGTCAGAATGGCTCTTTCTATGTGGACTAGTTTTGCTTAGCATAATCCCAGCGGGCTCCTATTGGGGTTAAGCCACAGTTTTAACCTTATTTATTAGTATCATTCTTTAATCATAAAGCCAGAGGATGTTAAGATTGGAATCGATCTGGGAGACTATTCAGTCTGCTTTTCTTTTTATTGATGTGAGAATAACAGAGCCTAGAGAAAGTAAGCTGATTACTCAACAATCGTAAAGCTTTCGAGGTCAACCTGAAATTAGGCTTCTGGTGTGAGATTCTATGGTGTTTCCTTCATGTGTTCCCCCTGGCTAAGATAGTTCATGGGTTTTCAGGTTTGACATTTTTCTCTCCAGTCTCTAAACAAAAGCTTTTCTCTGGACATTCGAGGTCAGCACAGATGGGCAATGACCCTGCAATGTGTGGATAATCCCAAAGGTTGACTACTGTGGATGGGAACTATCCCAGATGTGTCAGGAGTACCACAGGCATGCTCACTTCTCCATTCACTGGAGCTGCATACAGTGGAAAGGAAACCCAAATCAAGACACTTGGCTGCTTCAGTTCTTTTATTACGTGTCACAGTCCGATATGTGTCCATTTAAATTCAGACTTTTTGATGAATCGTCAGACCAGCTGCAGGCCCTTTGGCTCAGAAGTCTTGATCTCACCAACTGTTCATTTTCTTAATGGACTTCCTTACTTCAGGCATTTGTGTGTAGCTGGTCTATTGTGGAGTTGTCAGAGGGGTGTGGAGCCCTCTCTTTTTGGGACAGTCAGTTCTCTCCCTGTAGCATGTCCTGAAGTGGGGCTGTCTCCATTCTCTTTGTGTGTGAAATCTTTTGTTAAGCAGGGTAAAGTGAGAGAGGACTCCTAAAGAGAAAAACTCCTCCAGCATTTGCGGAAACATGTTTGTGAACTGACCAAGATGTAATTGGATGGCATGAAAAAGGCTAAAATTTATTTAATTTATTACTATCTGGTTTTGGTACATGGTGCCTTAAATTGAGTTTAGAAGAAACTTTGCAGATGGAATTTTGTTCTGTTGCCCAGGCTGGAGTGTAGTGTTGTGATCTCAGCTCACCGGAACCTTTGCCTCCTGGATTCAAGTGATTCTCCTGCCCCAGCCTCCCAAGTAGCTGGGATCACAGGCACCTGCCACCATGCCTGGCTAATTTTTATATTTTTAGTAGAGACGAGGTTCTACCACGTTGGCCAGGCTGCTCTTAAACTCCTGACCTCAAACGATCTGGCCACCTCGGCCTCACAAAGTTTTGGGATCGCAGGTGTGAGCCACTGCGCCCGGCCAAGGGTATCATATTTAATTCTACTCCCTGTGGCCTCTTTTACAATACCAGTCATGCATGGAGCCCATGGTTTTGCTACACCTAGTTTTACTCAAACGAAGGCTCTGGACTCTCATAGTTTACACTGACATATTTCTAGTTTGCCTCTGAAATGCACTCTGAGGATGCTGACTTCCAGATAGTCGTTCTTGGCTTCCAGATAGTTATTTTTGGGTCAAGAGAATTTCAAGTGTTTTGAGTATAGTAGCCACACCTCTTAGCTTCATTTTGGTTTGGTTACAAAATTTATTTTAGCTTAATTTTCTTAGATTAAGTGGGCAAAGACAGAGCAAAAGCTTTTGGGAGGCTGAGGTGGGTAGATCACTAGGTCAGGAGTTTGAGACTGATGTGGCCAACATGGTAAAATTTTGTCTTTACTAAAAATACAAAAGTTAGCTGAGCATAGTGGTGCATACTTGTAATTCCCACCACTTGGGAGGCTGAGGCAGGTGAATTGCTTGAACCCAGGAGCCTCTTGAGAACTTGGGACTACAGCACATGCCACCATACTCAGCTAATTTTTTTATTTGTAGTGGAGATAAGTTTTCTCTATGTCACCCAGGCTGGTTTCAAACTCCTGGACCTAAGTGATTCACCTGCCTTGGCCTTTCAAACTGCTGCAGTTACAGGTGTGAACCATGCCTGTTTTTTTTTTTTTTCTCATTTTTCTCTTCTTCCTTCCTTCTTTGTTAGATGGAAATGTGTCATGTATCAGCTATTCATCCAATGACTGCTCCTCAGTTCCAAATTCAGCCTTCACTGCCTGCTCTGCAAACATAGAGGTGGGATCTTTAAATGCTTCCTCCGTCAACTGGTGCATTATTAAATGTTGTCAGTACATGATGCTTGAGGGGCATCATAAGAGGCTTTTCTTTCTAGTTGTGTACAAATCTTCACAGGCACTGAGCTTCTCCAGCACCAGGCTCCTGCCCTGCATAATGCTTAGTAGCCCGCAGTGACCAGCGGTTTCTCTGCATTTGCCTGGGTGGTTTTGTAGTGAGACAGCTGTTTACCAATACGTTAAGCTAGCACCCTAGATGGTGGCTTTTCAGCAAATTCCAGAAGGCATATTGCTAGCATGTTCCACCAAGTGGTAATGCAGCAATTCTGCCATTGAATTACCCATGACTGTGCCCTGTCCAAGGGGGCCTGGATCTCAACCTTAGTGGGGAATCCCTTCCTTGGTCACTGTATCTCAGTGTAGGGACAGTAGGAAGTTACTGCTCCTTGTAACAGCTGGTCCTATACTTTGTTTTTTTGAGGCAGGGTCTCTCTCTTGCCCAGTCTAAAGTGCAGTGGTGAAATCGTGGCTCACTGCAATCTTAACCTCCTGGGCTGAAGCAATTTTTTCACCTCAGCCTCCCAAGTAACTAGGACTACAAGTGTGTGCTACCACACCTGGCAATTTTTTTTTTTGTTGTTTTTGTTTTTTTTTTGGTAGAGACAGGGTCTCACTGTGTTTCCAAGGCTGGTCTCAAACTGCTGGCCTCAAGCAATCCTCCAGCCTTGGCTTCCCAAATTGCTGGAATTGTAAGCATGAGCCACCTTGTCTGGCCTCTGGTAGCCATATGTTCTCTAGAGTTCTCTTTTCTTTTGTAGCCAATCTCTTATATGGTGTCCCCTTGTTATATAATTAATTTTTTTTTACTTTAAATTTTACCAGTTTAAACTTTGGGTGACTTTTGTCTTTTGATTGGACTCTGACAAATACAGAGCTGATGCTAGGAAGGGTTCTGGGAGAAAGACCCACACAAATGGGATCTGGGCATAGGTTTGGTTATCCAAGGGGCAGCGTTGAGCTCCTTGTCAATGGGAAATGGGCTGCTGGTGATTTTTAGGAAGTGACCTCATAATGTTTCAAGCTACCACTTCCTGTTGATTGTGATGAAATGCCAGCTGAGACACATGCCTTAGGAGCTAAGTGGCTTCTTTACTTGACCACTATGAAGACTTCTGTCGAGAGGGTCCTTTTGGATGCAGTGGAGCAGGGGCACCTAATCCCTGAATCACAGGCCTGTACTTGGCCACACAGCAAGAGGTGAGCAGCAGGTGGGCGAGCAAAGCTTCATCTGTATTTATGGCCACTCCCGTCTTTGCCACCTGATCTCCACCTCCTGTCAGGTCAGTGGCAGCATTAGATTCTCATAGGAGCAGGAACCCTATTGTGTAACTGTGCATGCAAGGGTTCTACCTTGCTGTGTCTTTATGAGAATCTGTTGCCTGTTAATCTATCACTATCTTTCATCACCCCCAGATGGGACCATGTAGTTGCAGGAAAACAAACAAGCTCAGGACTCACACTGATTGTACATTATGGTGAGTTATATAATTATTATATACTACAATGTAGTAATCACAAAGTACACAATAAATGTAATGTGCTTGAAATATTCCAAAACTGACCCCTGCCCCCAGCCTGTGGAAAACTTGTCTTCCATAATATTGGTCCCGGGTGCCAAAAACCTGGGGACCGCTGCACTTGAGCACTCACAGACAGAAAAACACGAAGCTCAAGTCTTAGCATAAGTCACGGTCTAAGATCCAGAGAGCTTCCACGATAGCCCAAACACAATTCCTTATTTCTTGTTTCCACAGGGTTATTATTGAAAATCAAACACAAACTTAAAGGTGTGAATTGCTGAATTACAATGACAGTTGAATTCACTGCATCTCCAAGGTTCTCATGAGAACATTGGGGCACTAATAGGTGAAGAATGGGATTTTCTTTTTGAGACCGTCTCCCTCTGTTGCCCAGGCTGGAGCACAGCGATGTGATCTTGGCTCACTGCAGTCTCAACCTCCCGGGCTTAAGCTATCCTCCTGCGTCAGCCTCTGGGATAGCTGAGGTATGACCACAGGTATGAGCCACCACACCGAACTAATATTTTGTGTTTTGTGGAGATGTGGTTTTACCACATTGCTCAGTCTGGTCTTAAACTCCTGGGCTCAAGACATCCACCCACCTCAGACTTCTAAAGTTTTGAGATTATAGGCAGCAGCCACCATGCCTGGCCCTGTTTTCTTTGGTACTGGTTTAATTTGAAGGCCTCCAATTGTCTTCCTGACTTCTAGGCTTGCTCACTTCAGCCTACTCACTGAAGCCAGAGGAATTTTTCTAAAAGGCCAATTTGGGTCAAAATGGTTCTTGATTAAAACCTGCTGGTGACTGCCCATTGCCTTTCAGATAAAATCAAACTAATTTGGCCACAGGGCCTGGTAAGAGCTGGCCTCGGCTTACCTTTCCAGTTTTATCCTGCACCACCCTCCCCATATCCCTACCCTCCAGCCACATGGAATGTCAGTTTCTTTGGGGGACTTTACTGGTGTCCTTCTTCAGGAAACCTTCCCCTACCCTCATCATCACTCTTTGACTCTCGTCTTTGCTCATCTTTAGCCTCAGCCGAGGTGTCTCACCCCATTCTCTATGATGCGACAAGAAGCCCCTTGGGAGCATTTCAGTCTCACTCTGTACTTCTGTCATTGTGCTCCTCACAGTCTGGTAAGTGTTGGCATACGATTGCTATATTAGTCTATTTTGCATTGTTATAAGCATACATATGAGGCTCAGTAGTTTATAAATAGAAAAGGTTGGCCAGGCACAGCAGCTCATGCCTGTAATCCCAGCACATTGGGAAGCCGAGGCAGGTGGATCACAAGGTCAAGGGATTGAGACCATCCTGGCCAACATGGTGAAACCCCATCTCTACTAAAACACAAAAATCAGCTGGCCTTGCTGGTGCATGCCTGTAATCCCAGCTACTCAGGAGGCCGAGGCAGGAGAATTACTTGAACCCAGGAGGTGGAGGTTGCAGTAAGTCTACATCATGCTACTGCACTCCAGCCTGGATGATAGAGTGAGACTCCATCTCAAAATAATCATCATCATCATAACAAACTTAGCTAGGTATGGTGGTCCATGCTTGTAATCCCAGCTACTTGGGAGGCAAGATCCCTTGAGCCCAGGAGATGGAATCTGCAGTGAGTCATAATCACCTCACTTTACTTCAAGCCTGTGTGACAGAAGTGAACTCTGTATCCAAAAAAGAAAATAGTCATTGGGGAAAAAAGACTAAACAAGCAAAGGTGTCAGGAGAGTCCTGTGAATGTGGGTCATGTCAGCAGAGTGTAGGGACTACTGGGCAGGAGGGACTTGAAGAACGGGGTGGTGGAGACAAGGTCATTCATCCTAAACAGTTTGCCCTGTAGCATGTAGATCAAATATCCAATGTTGGCTGCTGGTGACTGAACTGGGCTTCCTGTTTCTGTGTTTGGTTTGACCATCACAATGTTGAAAAACCTTTGAAGTGAATACCTTGCCATTTGCTACAGTTCCTCCTGGGCTCTGTCATTACTCCAGCCTCCTTTCTTCACGTAGGTTGCCTGATATGCTGAAACCTGTGTTTGCTCTCCCTGCAGATGGGTGGGTAGGAGGTGATTTAAGGAGGAACATTTAATATATAAGATTTTATATATGTATATATATGTGCGTGTGTGTGCATGTATATGTGTGTATATATATGTGTGTGTGTATATATGTGTATGTGTGTGTGTGTGTATATATATATATATGAAAGTAAATAGACTGGGTGTGGTGGCTAAAGCCTATAATTCCAGCACTTTGGGGGGCCAAGGCAGGAGGATTAGTTTGATCTAGGAGTTCAAGACCAGCCTAGGCCACATAGTGGCCTTCTCTACAAAAAATTTAACAAATTCGGCATGGGGGCATACACCTGTAATTTGAGTTACTTGGTTAGGCTGAAGTGGGAGGATTGCTTGAGCCCAGGAGTTGAAATCTGCAGTGAGCTGGGATCTCACCACTGTGCTCCAGTCTTGGTAACAGAGTGAGATCCTATCTCAGAAAAAAAAAGAGAGAAATAGATCCAGCACTGGTGGGAGTATACTTTTGAGTGCTCTTTAGGAGAAAATTATATTTTAATGTTTTTTTTCTTAAGTTTTTTATATTCTAGCAAACCATTTCTTCAACAAGGAGAAATAAATGTCATCCAAAGAGCCCTAGGAGCAAGGGCAGACTCAGAAAGTCAGAAGCACTGTAGTCATTTTGAGCAGCTTCTATCTTCGGACTGCTAAGCTGGCCAGTGCCAGGCTGGGTCCATTTTTTTCTCCTCTTCAATTTCTTAAACTGAAAGAGTCCTGCTAGAATCTGAAGTCAGATCTGTAGGTCAGCATGGAGTCAGCAGTTTGCTATGTTGTGAGGTCTTACCCCAGGAACTACAGAATACAAAATGCAAGAGAAAGCTGGAATAGAGCATCTCTCAGGGAAATGAGAGCCAGAGATACGGCAGTGCCCTATGGAGACAGCCAGCCTTGTGGAAAGGCTGTACTTTGGTTAGATGTCCACAATCTGGAATGTGACCTTCAATATTATTGGTCCACAAACTCCGGTTTCTCGTTTTTCCTGCAGAGGTCAGTGTCGTAGGGAGTGGTTCATCTTAGCAGAATTTCCTGGTTTTCATGGCAGGTGTTCCATTTGTTAATTGACAAAGGAGGCATATTTCTCCTCTGGTAACCAGAATATTTATGTCATTTCCCTCGGGACTCCCTTGAAGTTTCTTGGGAAACTAAGCAGAGGATGAGGAAAGGTTGTGAACACGCTTGCTGGTCCCTTCCTGTCCTACAAAAGAGCACACCTCTTCTGTAACCGGAAGACCCTTTTCATTAGTCAAGGCTGGACAGACTGAGGGGTGTGTGTGTGTAGACACGGTCTCACTCTGTTACCCAGGCTGGAGTGTAGTGGTGAGATCATTGCTCACAGCAGCTTCCACTTCCTGGGTTCAACTATCCTCCCACTTAAGCCTCCAGGGTAGCTAGGACTATAGGAATGTGCTGCCATACCCAGCTCATTTTCTAATTTTTTTTTTTTTTTTGTAGAGTTGAGGTTTCACTGTGTTGCCAAGGCTGGTCTTAAACTCTTGGCCTCATGGGATCCTTCTATCTTAGTCTCCCAGTGGGCTGGGATTATAGATACGCAGCACCTCACCTGACCTGTGATGAGTTTTTGACAATGTCATTCCTTTTTTACAGAAGCACCTAAGCTGAAGAGTCCCTTGAGAACAAGTACTATCCTGTGGTTTCATAACCTTTCTTCCATCTGTGGTTCTTGCCGAGTTAAATTTAAAGTGCATCTTATCAAGATGATAAACCCAACTTTTCCAGAGCTGGAATATAGAAAATGGATGGACATATAAGTCCCACTCACCAATAGCCAAGGCATGGAGACCTGAACACACCTGAGCCCTAGACATCACATTTCATTGTGAGTAGCTCTGAGATAACACTTCTGGTTGGTAAGTGCCCGCTGGCAATAGTTGATGTAGCAGCAAGTGAAGGAATAAAGAGTCAAGAAAACATTTTCTGTTCCCAATTCTAGCATTAATTTGATTAGATAATTATTCTATGAAGAATTTTCATATGCCACAGTTGTTACCCAATTCTCAAGTGAACTGAAAAATTATATTTAAAAGTCAACCTTCTCTCACTGTTGCCCAGACTGGAGTGCAGTGGTGCAGTTATGGCTCACTGCAGCCTCAACCTACTAGGCTAAAGCAATCCTTCCTCAGCCTCACAAGTAGCTGGGACTACAGATGCTTGCATGGATTTTGGTCTACGTGGATACTGGGGAGCTGGAACCAATCTCCCCATATACCAAGGGACAGATTGTATCTGTTTTGTTTTCTTTTGTTTTTGAGACAGTCTTTCTGTTGCCTAGGCTGGAGTGCAATGGCACAATCTCAGCTCACTGCAACCTCCACCTCCCAGGGTTAAGAGTAGGCTAAGATTACAGGTACCTGCTATCATGCTGAGCTAATTTTTGTATTTTTGTAGAGACAGGGTTTTATTATGTTGGCCAGACTGGTCTTGAGCTCCTGACTTCAGGTGATCTACCTGGCCTCAACCTCCCAAAGTGCTGGGATTACAGCTGTGAGTCACTGTGCTGGGCCTTTTTCTCTTTTTTTTTTTCAAGTTGGAGTTTTGCACTTTCTCCCAGGCTGGAGAGCAATGGTGCACTCTCAGCTCACCACAACCTCCACCTCCCATGTTCAAGTGATTCTCCTGCCTCAGCTTCCAGAGTAGCTAGGGTTACAGGCACCACCGCACCTAATTTTGTATTTTTTAGTAGAGATGGGGTTTCTCCATGTTAGGTCAGGCTAGGCTTGAACCCCTGACCTTAGGTGATCCACCTGCCTTGGCCTCCCAAAGTGCTGAGATTACAAGTGTGAGCCACCGCACCCAGCCTCTATCTGTTTTTACAGTTATGCTGTTAAATACATGTTCCAAGACAGTGGTAAATTTTGAATGACAATTTTTAATTGAGTGGAATTACCATAAAAATAATAAAAGTATCAGCTAATATTTACTGAGCTGTTACTAGGTACCTATAAATACCATAGATTTTTAAATTCCCCATAACTCTTCCTTATTTCGCTTAACCGCTCTATCTGAAATTACTCATGCTTGCTTCAGTAGCACATATCCTAAAGCCGGAATAATAGAGAGATTGGCATGGCCTCTGCAAGAATGACGTGCAGATCTGTGAAGTGTTACGTATGTTTTTAAAACGGAAAAATACTACTCTTAGATTTACTGTGTTTGTGCATATGACCTTTTGTTTAGGTTGAATTGTATCCGAAGATATTTCCAGCCAGAAATGAGATGACTGTGAGTCACAGGACATTAGCATTCTTGTTATACTTGGTGTAAACTGCCGAGCTTTCAGGCATGGTGGCTGTCGGCCTATAATTCCAGCACTTTGGGAGGCTGAGGTGGGAGGATCGCTTGAGGCCAGGAGTTGGAGGAGGCAGTACAGTGAGTCACTGTATTTTTTAAAAATTTCCAAGCTTTACCCTGGTGGAAGGCTTGTATACAATTTAAACATCACTGATAGTAAAAGAAAATGCCCATTTCACTGCACCTTTGCTGGCACAGGGTACAATAACAAGTTATTTTTTGTTTGATCATTTTTAGTAAATAAAAGATATCATTAATACTTTATTTTTGTTACATTTGAATATATATTTCCTTATATTACTTTATTAGCTTTCTTTTTCTCTCTCTCTTTCTTTTTCAGATGAAGTTTCACTCTTGTTGCCTAGGCTGGAGTGCAACGGCACAATCTCTGCTGACTGCAACCTCCTTCTCTTGGATTCAAGCCATTTTCTTGCCTCAGTCTGCAGAATAGCTGGAATTACAGGCATGTGCCACCATACATGGCTAAGTATTTTCAATAGAGACAGGGTTTCTCCATGTTTGTCAGGCTGGTCTCGAACTTTGTACCTCGTGATCCAACTGACTCAGCCTCCCAAAATGCTGGGATTAGAGCGTGCCCAGCTAGCTTTCTTTTTTGCTCCCCCTCCTTTTTTGGGAGACCAAGTCTCACTCTGTAGCCCAGGCTTGAGTATGGTGGTACAGTCTCGACTCACTGCAGCCTTGACCTCCTGGACTCAGGTGATCCTTCCACCTCAGTAACTGGGACTGTAGGCCCATGCCACCATGTCTGGCTAATTTTTTTGATTTTTAATAGAAACAAGGTCTTGCTATGTTTCCCAGTCTGGTCTGGAATTCCTGGCCTCAAGCAGTTCTCCCACCGCCCCCTCCCAAAGTCCTGCTATTATAAGCATCAGCCACCAAGGTTGGGCTGTCCATGTCTTTTCTGTTTATTTGTAGAGTTAACATGTCTTTTACTAATTAGATGATCTGTATATTTAATCTTTTATTAAATTATAAAAATAGTAAATACTTTTAAATGAAGAAGTGGAAATTTTCCTTTACTCTTTAGACCCATAATCTTGTCTCAGGAAATAATTGGCCGTATTGTTCAAATACATATGGGCTGATTGAATATCGCTTCTCATTTTCATGTTTTGTGGACATCTGTGTCAATTTCTATTGATGTATCTGAATCCTTTTCATGGTTGCATAATGTTTTAGTATATGGATATATCACAAATAGCCATTTAGGCTCCTTCTAATATTTGCTTTGAGCTCTTTATGTCATGAAAAATTAACCTCCTCAGCAGGTGTGGCAGCTCACACCTGTCATCCCAGCACTTTGGAAGGCTGAGGTGGGAGAACTGCTTGAGGGAAAAGGATTACCACCAGCCTCGTCGACATAGCAGCACATTGTCTCTAATAAAATTTAAAGATAACGTGAGCTGGACATTGCAGTTTACACCTGTAATCCCAGCTACTGGGGAGTCTGAGACTGGAGGATCACTTGAGCCTAGGAGGTCGAGGCTGCAGTAAGCTATGATCACACAACTGCATTCCAGCTTTGGTAACAGTAAGAATGTGTTTCTTCAATAAAATAAAAATCAGGTTGGAAGATTGCTGAAGTCCTGGAGGTTGAGGCTGCAATGAGCTGTGATTGTACCACTGCGGTCCAGCCTAGGGGATAGAGCAAGATTCTTTCTCAAAAAAGTAAAATAGAATAAAAATAAACCCTTTAGCATATTTCCCAGTAACACTTTCCCTCTTACGTTTTTCCTAGAAGCTCTTGAATTTTGTTTGCTTCTCACATATCTTTTAAAACTTTTATGGGATTTCCTGATTCTTTCTTTTATTTTTAAAGAATATCTGTTTGTCACTTCCGGCTGGATCTACCATGAAAGACATCAGATTTCAGGAGGAGACTTGGCATCATGTTATTCAGGTACAAAAAGACTCGGACAATAACTCAACAATGATCAAACAATAGTGCATGCGTCAAGTGCAATGGGAAGCTTTTCTGGAGAGTGGGAGAAGCTTCCAGATAAGGTGACAGTGAAGCTGGCTTTTGAAAGATGAGGAAGAGTTGTGTGAGAGTAGGAAGCGAAGGGGGATGTGGAGGGATGGGGAATGGTCAGGGAAACCAGCAGTTCAAAGACCTGGACAATTAAGATGGCACATTTGGTTCAGGGAATAGGGAATTAAGTGTGGCAGGAATGCTTTGGAGAGACAGTAATTGGCTTGTATGGAATTTTGCCTGAGAGACCTCACTACAGTTTCTAATCTGGTGATGTTATCATCCATCTCTGTTTCTGTCAGATAGTTTGGAATAGGTGTGATGATCACAGTAACATCAAGCATAATATTTTGTGAATTCTCACAAAATTCCAGGCGGGTACCAGTTATCCCCATTTTCTGAATGAGGTGATAAAGACTTAGGGATAATGAGTGATTTGCCCAAGCTCACATGGATATTGAGCTGAGTCAGATGTAGGGACTGGTTTGACTTTAATGCTTGCTCTGTTCATGAGCACCATGTATTGCTTCTCCTATGCAGTTAGGCAGGTAGGTGAAAGAAAAGCCCATGTTTCTCTCGTCACACACTTTGACTGACTGTGTGTGTGTGGAGCTTATACACCAAATTCTCCAGTGTTCTGGATATTAACTGGGTATCCCACAATGTTCTTCTGACACTACCTGGAGCTGGCGCAGACCCTGCAGGTTAGGCGTTTAGTCCCGTGAGACTACCCTCACTTTAGATGCCAATGGCAAATATTAGGTTTTGTCCTGTACTTTTGACCAACCTATTACAAATCAGGGGTTCTCATGACCCCCTTCTTTGATTTAATCATGTGCTGGAACAGCTTATAGAACTCAGAAAAATAGTTTATTATTTTTTTTTCTGAGAGACAGGGTCTCATTTTTTTGCCCAGGCTGGTGTGCAGTGTTGCAGTCATAGCTCACTGCAGCCTCAACTGCCTGGGCCCAAGTGGTCCTCCCCCGTTCCTAGTAGCTGAGACGACATGCCTGCACCACCACATCTGGCTAATTTCTTTTATTTTTTTTTTAGCGATGGGATCTTGTTTCGTTGCCCAGGCTGGCCACAAATTCCTGGGCCCAAGTGATCTTCCCACCTTAGTCACTTAAAGTGCTGGGATTACAGATGTGAGCCACCACATCTGGTGAGTTCATTTTCTATTCCTGGTTCACTGTAAAGGATATGTCTCAGAAACAGCCAGTGAAAGAGATGTGCATGCTGGATGCAGTGGCTCATGCCTGTGATCCCAGCGCTTCGGGAGGTTGAGTTGGGAGGATCGCTTAAACGCAGGAGTTTGAGTTCAGCCTGGGAAACATGGTGAAACCCTCTCTCTATAAAATACAAAAATTAGCTGGGCATGTTGATATGTACCTGCAATCCCAGGTACTGAGGAGGCTGAGGCAGGAGAATCACTTGAACCCAGTATGCAGTGGTCGCAGTGAGCTGAGATCACGCTACCGCACTCCAGCCTGGGCTGCTGAGCAAGATTTTTTCTCAAAAAATAAATGAATATAAATAAATAACTAGGTGTGGTGGTGTGCACCTGTTGTTCCAGCTACTAGGGAAGCTGAGGTGAGGATGCATTGAGCTGGGGACTGGGGAAACTTAGGTTGTGGTGAGCTGAAATTGTGCCACTGCACTCTAGCCTGGACAAAAGAGCCAGACCCTGTCTTTAAAAAAAAAGAAAGAGGAGAACGAAAGGAAGGAAAAGGAGAAAGAAATGAAAGATGGATGCCCAGGGGAAGGTAAGTGGGAGGTGCACAGAGCTTCCATGCCCTCTGTTCAACATGCCGCCCTCCCAGCACCACCTGTATTCAACCAGAAGCTCTGCAAACCCTGTTGTTCAGGGTGTTTACAGAGGCTCGATTATGCAAGCATGATGGATAAAATCTTTGGCCATTGATAATTAAGTCAATCTTCAGCCACTCTCACCTCCTGGAGTTCGGCAGGTGAGGCTAAAAGTTCTAAGCCTCTAATCATGTGGTTGCTTTCTCTGGCAATCAGCCCTCCTCCTGAAGAAATCCAGGAGTGTGCACCCACCCAGTCATCTCAACCACATCCCCAAATGCATTCTTAGCATGCTGGAGATCCCAAAGTTCTTAGAGTCTCTTGTGTTAGAAAGCTGGGACCAAGAGCAAATATTAAAACTAAAGATGCTCCTATCACCTCTACCACTGAGGTCTTTATTAGCATTCAATAATAAAGGAACAGGAGCCAGGGACAGAGAAGAAATATATATTTATTTTCTTTTTTTTTTTGAGACAGAATCTCCCTGTGTCATCCAGGCAGGAGCACAGTAATATGATCATAGCTCATGATAGCTTTGACCTCCTGAGCTCAAGTGATCTTCCCACGTCAGACTTCAGAGTAGCTGGGACTACACATGCATGTCACCCATGCCCAGCTCATTTTTGTAAAGATTAGATTTAGTCATGTTGCCCAGGCTGATCTGAAACTCCTGGGCTAAAGCCATTATTTCACATCAGCCTCTCAAGTAGCTGGGACTGCAGGCGCACACCACCATGTCGGGCTGATAATGATTTTTATGCTTTCCTAGAGGTGGGATCTCACTCTGTTTTCCAGGCTAGTTTCAAACTCCAGGCCTTAAATGTTCCTCCTGCCTTGACTTCCCAAAGTGTTGGGGTAATGGGTGGGATCCACCATGCCCAGCAGTCACAAAGATCCTTATAAAAGAAAGAGGTTAGAAGAGTGAGAATTGGAGCAGGAGATGTGTTGGTGGAAGCAGAGTTAGAGAGGGAGATTTGCAGATGTTTCACTTCTGGCTTTGAAGATGGAGTTAAGGGCCACAATCCAAGGAATGGGGGTGGCTTCTAGAAGCTGGAAAAGCCAAGGGAACACTTTAGAGCCTCCAGAAGGAATGCAGCCCTGCTGACACCTTAACTTTAGCCTTAATAGACCTAATTTGGGCTTCTGATTCCCAGAAGTGTAAGTTGGTAGATTTGTGGTATTTTAAGGGACTATTGTAGGGTAGTTTGTGGCAGCAGCAAGAGGAAATAAACATGACGCCAAGCATCGTGGCTGATGTTGGTAATCCCAGCACTTTAGGAATCCCGGCAGGAGGATCACTTGAGGCCAGGAGTCCAAGGTCAGCCTGGGCAACATAGTGAGACCCTGTCTCTACAAAACATTAAAAGGACCGGGTGTGGTGGCTCACTCCTGTAATCCTAACACTTTGGGAGGCCAAGGATCACCTGAGGTCAGGAGTTTGAGACCAGCCTGGCCAACATGACAAACCCCCATCTCTACTAAAAATACAAAAAT